TTGATATATATACTTTATTTATTTGTCGTATTTTATTTCGACTTTTTCTTTTTTTTTAACCATCCAGAGAAGTGTAATTATCCATCCTATGCATTTATTATATACATATATCGATTATACTAATCAGTATGGGAAAAAATTGGAATTGGTATATTTAATATGCAATCATATTTGGTTAATTCATTATATACCTGAGGGAAAAATCTCCCGATATATTTTAGTTTTTCTTTTTTTTCCTTCAAAATTAAAGGATAAATGGATAGGGAAAGATGTAATGTAGCGAATATGGGAAAGATGATAAAACATTGTGTCGCATTTTATTGTTTGGGAAAATTTTATTATATTTTAAGCATAATAATTATTAGATTTTATGATGTTTGATGTAATGAAATGAAACTTTTTCTATTATATTAACCATACAGGTTATGCTGAATACTGACTATTTGATGATATTAGAATAATAGCTTATGTAGAGATTATATATACAAGTTATTAAGTAATTGAATCTTTCGATAATATAATACTTTTTAAGAGTATTTTATGCAAATTTGAATGATTTTTCTTCATTTTTATGCAGCAACAAAATTACTGCTACATAATAAGCCATTAATTTCAATCGTTTAAATAAGCTGATTTGTTTGTTACCTTGGTAACATTTTTAGGTTGACATATATGAATTGAAAAATTGCAATAGCAACCTGACAAAAAGTGCATTTTAAATTTAGGCATTGGTTCTGAGAATTATAAATGCAATAAAAATGTTTAAAGCTATTATTAATTCGTAGTTTGTTGTCCATGTATAATTTTCTTCATTTATTCACGTTCGCAAATTCTCTTTAATAGTAAAATGAAATTATTTTAATCTGATAAAACATATTTTTTGGCATAAACCAAAATTTTTGATGAATATAAATGAGAAAATTCTCTTTCATAACGTTAAAAAAAAAAAAAATGTCAAATATACTTTAAATAAATTAGATTTTAAGAAAAAAGAGGAAAGTGGAAAGAGATTTTATAAATTTTCACTTTCTTTCTTATTTCTTTTTCACTTTCCTCCTTTTTCCCTCTCTCTCTCTCTCTCCCTTTCGTTCTCTTGTTTTTTCTCGTAGGTATAATTGCCATGGATTTTTTTTTTCAAACAAAAGTGGTAATTTTTTTTTTTTGAAAAAAAAAAAGCAGCATAAAAAAATGTTATTAACTAAATGTCGTCCTTTTTTTTCCTTTTGATTTTATTTACATCATTTCCTCTTTTTTTTCTTTTTTTTTTTTTAATGGGACAATATCGCTCGTTTAATGCGACATTATTGCGTGTGTTCAACAAAAAAAAAAAAACAAAAGAAAAAAAAGAAATGATTCAAATTATTTATGCCTTCAGAAAAAAGCTCGCTATTTCTTTCTTTTCTTAAATGTTATTTCTTCCTAATTAATTTAGATATTATATTATCATTAATTAAAATTGTATTTAGTTCATAGTTAAATGAACCAAATGATAAATGGTCAAAAAATATGCGAAAGTAACAATGAACAGTAGTATTTTACCTGTTTTATACTACCTGTTCCTTTGTTATTTTAGGGAAAAAAAAACAGATTGATTTAATTAAATATCATACATTATAGTATAATATAATTTAATTCTGATATAATTGGAACATATTTTAATATGTTTTCACATGATATATTCCGATATGATATATTTTATTATGGTACATTTTAATACGATATATTCTAATACGATATATTTTGATGTGATATATTCCAATATAATATATTCTAGTACGATATGCTCTAATACCAAAAGGAAGTACTTGAAAGTGTGGATATATGTGTTTTATTTGCATATGATAGGAGAAAAAAAAGTGGAAGGGAAAGGCTTGGCTATTATATATATTTAGCATAATTGATCTGTTATTCAATGAATTAATCTTTAGGCATCCAACGGATTCGAATACGCAGTAAACGGTATTGATATTAATGCTATCGTATAATATTAGCAACAATTAATACTACTGCGACAGTTGTCATCCAACATCATATTATTCAACTTATTTTTTTTTTTTTTTATTTACTCGGAATTACTAAACATACATTCAATTATATTCTATACGAATGGTAAGCAAATTTTTATAATTACTAGTAATTATAATCATACAATCAATCAGAAAGTAAACTTTATATTATTCGAAAGTAAAAGATTGATTATGATAGTACGGTAATTAGAATACAATTGCAGTCAGAATACATAAAATATCTTAAATAGCAATAATTTAATGAATTTAATTGGTTTAATTTATAGTAAAGTATTTTAGACAAACAATTTAGTCGATTTAAGTGATTTAAATTACAATTAATTTTAAATTTAATATATTCGGTTGAACATATGTCTAAGAAAAAAATGAGAATATAATTGTTGAAAGTATTTATAAAATAAAAATTTGATAGAAAAAAGAAAAATCAAAAGTATGGTTTTTTTTTTTTTTTTAAATTGTAACATTAATATTGAATCGTAAGGTACAGCAATAATCTGAAAATATCATTATCGTTGTCAAAACATCATTGAAACTAAATGCTTTTCTTTCTATTCATAATATTTATTTAATAATTCCGCGAAGGAGAAAGTTTCTAACCTTTAAGGTCTCTGATCCTTGAAGTCTTTGATCTTCAAAGTCTCTGACCATAAAAATTCTGCACCTCTTTATTAATGTGATATTTATGAATGTTCTATTTAAAGTTGACAGAAATATAACCTGAGCAGTTCAATAATTTTTCTTTCTAATTCCCACAGTGGTCTGACAAATTCTCAAATTATTAGCTGATATAATATTTCGACCTTTCCGATGAAACTGGAACTATAGACTTTGTCAATTTGCGCCACTACTCATTTTCTAAATAGATTTATATTTGTTACATTTGTTTTATCTTTTGGCTATTCATTTCTTGGCATGGATGAATAATGATTCAGTTCGGAAAATAATAATTTCGATAGAATTCGGCGATCATTTATCAAAATGGTGACCTTGGTGACATTTTTTTTTGATCTTAGACTATTCGGAGTTTTTTTTTTTTCCTTGTGGACGAAGGACGAAAGGATTAAAAGTGAACAGATAGACCGTTTAAAAAGAGCAGGACAAGGTTTTTGACTTTTTCGTTTATCTCTTTATCATTTCACTGTCTAATCATGTCTATCAAAAAAATTAGGTATTCAAAGATGAACTTCTAAAATTCTGCATTTTTTTAATAATGTATTTTCAATGAAGTGCAAAATTCATTGATAATGCGTTATTAATTCCCATATTTCATATGACAAATGATAGTTTCATTTTTTGATTCAATCATTGTTAAATTTAATCATAAGCTCTTTTTGAAATGTTCACTGATAATGGAAGGAAACAAAAAGTTAGAAAAAAAAGAAGAAAAAAAATTTGTAAAACAAATAAGTTAGTATTTTGTTGTACCATTTAAATATTTTTAGTAAATAATTTCGATTGAGATACCATTAAAGTTATACTTTTAGTAATTAATTCAGCTAATTATGAATTGGAAGTTTAATTCTTTCAAAAAATGTACTTTTAATTGAATGACATTTAAAATTTCATATAATTAATTGATGCCAATTTGTTTTTATTCAGTGATTTTTTTTTTTTTTGCAGTGTTAAATGATAAATGAAGATGGTTGATGTTGTTTTTTCATTTCACAAACAGATGAATAGAAACTAATTTTATCCCTTTCACAATTTATCATATCATTTGCCACATAGCAGAGAAATTGTGAAGGAAGATGATAAAGAATAAAGATTAAACGAAAGATTTTTTTTAATCGATTTATTGATATTGCATTTCAATTATTGATTACAACATAGCTAATAATAGATTAAATGATATATTACTTCATTTCAAACGTTTTTTTTCCTTCTTTTTCACTTTCCTTTATTTTTAAATAAATTTCTAATTAGAAATGTTGTGTAATTCAATTATTAACTTAATAATTACCGGTTTTTTATCATTTAAAAGGAAAAAAAAACCTTTTTGTACTAAAATTTGTGCTGGTTTGTTAAAATTATTAACGATGTATTATGTGATAAAGGGATGATGCAATGATATGGAAAGTAGAGAAAAAGGAGAAGGAAGTGAAGGAAGCGGAAACGGAGGAGAAGGAACTGAAGGAAGCGGAAACGAAGGAGGAGGAGAAGGAGGAAGAAGAGGAAGAGGAAAAGGAAAAGAAAAGAAAAGGAATAATGAAAACTGCAAATGCTGTCTTTTTAAATGATATGAGAACAAAAATTAAAATGGTTTCGATTAATTTTTAGTATTAAATTTTATAAAAATCTCAGTAAAACGAATAATTCAAATATAATAAAAATTAATACAATAATTAAAATGTTTAATTTCATTTAAAATTAATTTTTTCTCATAGGTATGCTGAAATAATTTAATGAAAATATTATTATCCATTAATCAATTATTCGTAATAATATACAAACAGATCAATCGATCAATGGTTCGATTGATCAGATCCATGAAAAGAATTAATTACCTATTCCATAATCGGCAACATTACTTCTTTGTAGATTTATAAGTTGAAATGAGATTGAATTCACAATTTCACTTTTTAATGTACTAAATTGCAGTAATGCATCACTTATAAATGATATTTAATTCTATTATTGTTGTAAAATAAAGAAAAAAAGTAGACAAAAGAACTTAACTTTATTTTATTATTGTCAGATGAAGCATTTGCGCTTTTTTTACTTTATTTCTTTCAAAAAATAAAATTATTTATCAGTTCCTTTTTTTCCTCTTTTCTTAACTTTTTCAAAATCAATGATTAAATTAATATGATGTTATCATAATTGATAGTAGTGATAAATAATAATTCGATACATTAAGGCAATTGTTTTCCTAGTTTTTCCTTCTAAAATAATAAATTATTTTATGATTGAAAATTTGTTTATCATTTTTTACTTTTGATAGTGTTTAACAGTGATTGATAAATAAAATCACAAATGAAAATTTCATTTAAAAGAAAATTTAACAATCGTTCAAATTTTGTCAAATAAATAAATTCTTGTTCATAAAGAAGAAATGATTAACAATAAATGAAATGCGTAAATATGATCTTAGTCTTATCTTAGTTTTATTTTTCGAAAAAAAAGAAATGAAAATTTGACACTAAAATTTATTTGAAAAATAGCTTATGCAGTGAATGAAATTAAAAGAAAATTGTTTGGTAGGAGAAAGAAAAAAAAAACTTTTTTTTTTCTTTTGCTGATTGAATTTGGACAAATGGTTGGTTAAGTAATTAAAATTATTCATCTTTTAATCTATTATTTTTATTCGAAATTTTTTGAAAAAAAGGATTTTATTCCTTTTTTGAAATTTTTTTTTTTTTTAAAAAAAGGCAATTTGTTATTCACTTTCCAATGTTATGTATTAAGCATAATTTTTTTTGAAATATTTGTTCAAAAAAAAATTTTTTTTCAAAAATATCCGTACATTTTTTTCGTACCACTACAATGTTAAGTGATGATTTCCTTTTAAAAGACTTTTGAAATTTTTTGCTCTTGAAAAGTTCAATTTACATTTTCAAGCTATAATTCAATATTTGGATATTAAGCATAACGTTTTGCTTTTAATTTGCTTTTCGCAGAAAAAAAAATCGTTTTTTCTTTTAAAAAGTACATTTACATTTTAACTCCATTATCTTTATAATAATATTAAATATGTTTTTTCTTTTTTTTTTGTATAAAATTTTTTAATTCTTTTTTTTTTTT